AGGCAATTTGTGAGTTGTGTGTGTAGAGATACCCTGTAATTGCATGAACATTTTAAATAAAGTCAGCTCTGTTAACTTGATTTACTTAGATTTCGTCTGGCAAGCATGAAAATATAGATATTTTGAGATTGGTTAGGTTTTATATGGGGCTTTCCGAGTAAGTCTCCCACAAATTTTTATTTTTTCATTTTTTATTTTTTTAATATATAAAAAACAAACTTTTAGAGTAAACGATTCAAATTACAGAAATCATCTTTTTTTAGGTTTGATAAGCAAAAAATAATAAAAAAAATAGAAAGTTTTTCTAGAATTTATTGGGTGTATCAGAAATTGTATTCTTCGAGAGCTCTGCAACCAAGTATGTAAGTTCCAGCACTAACAAGTCTCGAGATTTAAACATCTTATCTAAACATTCTTAATTATTATCTTGCAGCCCTATACCACTGCCTTGTTGAGTATGTCTCGAGATTTATGAGATTTATCTTTTAGCTGTTTAGTCTTCAAGACTTTAATATATAATTTACAGTAGCATCACCTCATTATCTAAAAGCAGCGTACAGGGTATTCAAACAAAAATTGTCAGTAGGAGTTGCCACTGTGGCAGTTGCTGCTGCTGCTGCTGCTGCTGTTGTTGTTGTTGTTGTTGCCCTTCCATAGTATTCAATAAGCTTGTTTATGGCTTAGACAGCAGTCACGCATTGCAACTAATATTGAGCACGCGTTTTAATTGAATTTCACGCGCTTTCATAAACTCAACGCATGCCGCCAACTCCGGTCGAGTTTTTATGACTCTCCCACTCAGGCGGAACGCTCCGAACTACAATTGCGATTTCTATTTCGAACTCAATTTCTATTTCGGTTTCACTTCGCCACGCAGACAATGCGACAGCAGGAGCAGCAGGAGCAGCAACAGCAGCAACAGCAGCAGCCACCCACAAACCAAACAAGCAATACATCCATCCATTCACATCCATCCACATCCATCCGTTTTCATTCACATTGAGAGCGTGTTTAATTGCGCGCACTTCTTGTTATTGCAATCGTAAAATCTTTTGTTATTGCCTTACAACAATTTGTTGTGTGTATTCAGTCCGTGCCAAATTGCATTGTAGTATATGTATATATATATAGAAGTATATATAAAAATAACAGTGACATCAGTGCGTATACGTAATGCGTGTTGTAAAAATAATTATCGGAAATTATATTGGTTCGCGTAGTTCATTACGAATTATTACCAAATACTGCTACGGCTCTTATCTGCCTGGAGCTGCCCCGCCGGCCCACTAGCTGGCTAATTATATTTAGTCTTTTCCTTTTAATTACACGCTGATAGCTATCGACTTTATAGCCACAAAACACCTATCGGAACTGAAGGAAAATCGTTCGAATCTGCCATAAATTAAATTTATGTCTAGAAATTTTATCGATATCAGTTTTTCAATTAAACTATTATCTTTAGCAAACCTATGAATCAGAATACAGAAATATATTTTATAACGATCCTCAAGTTATTATTTATGCATCCAAAGTTCTACTGATAAAGCTAAAGCAAAGTTTAAGTCCCAAATATTTAGGTATTAACTGTTAATTATGAACTGATATGACTGAGGTTTAAAATTATAATACGCCCGAAATCTCTGCTAAGCACATATATGTTTATTTTTGTATACACTGAACTCATTGAAAAGGGTTAGGCTGACTTTTTGAGCATGTATGTAACAGGTAGCAGGAGACGTGGCATACTCTATATAAATTCTAGATCTTGTTGACGAGCCAAGTCTATTTTTCAATGTTCAGTAACAAATGCTACAGCTTTTTATTAAATAATATTGCATATTTTTATCTATATACGATTTTTTTATTATCGATAATAATCGATAATAATAATCAATTTTGCACACAGAGCTCAGAGCATCTCCTAGTCGAACACTGTGTACCTCATGCTAACTTGTTTGAAATTTTTGCGATTCATGACCCATTTCAAAGTGTGACGAAGTCACTATATTTTGTTGATAACTATTTTGCTGATAAAATTAAAATGTTTACAGTGCAATAAATCGTATTTTAATTGGCATGTAATAAATTTGGCAAAAACAATATTGTATTGAATTTTTTGGGCGCTGAATATTCATGGGGGATTCCAAATACGCAATAAAGTTATGTCAAATCTCAAATCTGTTCAAGTATTAAAATTTATTTGTTTATAAATTTTTATTATTCAATAAACAATGAACTAAATTTGAGATTAAGACTGGAAGAAGTGCGTAAAGAGGCAAGTTTGATGAGCTGTGATTGATTGTTATAGACAGCGTTAAGCCTTAAGATCTATGTCATTTGACATAGTACGATGATCTAAATTTACTACAAGAAAACTCAATTATCAGAGCTAATGGACTAAATAGATAAACTTCGTAATCAATGTTACAAAGATTATAGTAAACGTTCCCATATAGTCTAGCAAGGTTCATATAATAAACATTCGCAACATTCCATAGAAAATATTATCTTTGAAGAACATGTAATTCCTAGAATGCCACTGTCTAGCTTCTCGAGTGTTTCTTGGAATAGCCACCATGGGGAGTACTTTATGTGCTATAAATATAAAGACAAAAGACAAAAACCAAAACAACGTAAAATTAATTATCGCAAAAAATGTATTGAAAATACTATCTCTAATTGATTGAATAAATCACCTGTTACTCACGGTTGCTTTACGGTTTTTTAATTAGTGTAGTTAAACAATGAATTGGCAAAAGAAAAATGGCCATAAATTAATAGAAAGCTTATCAAAATTGTGGTTCACTTCACTGTGAATCAGCAGACGATGACTCAATTTGTCATATGGTCAATTGAAATGAACCTAAACTTTGATATCCCTATTTATCATTAAGCCATTATACTTAGTTAGGTATATTTTATTGTTTTTTTTGTTTTGTTTTTTCTTTTTGCTCTACATAATAACCAATTACACTGCTAGTAGTACTTAAGACACGCTCGCTGACGCGTAGAGCCCTCTGAATGTCTGACAATCCATCAGATGTTAACTCAACGTAACTCAATGTCGAGCAAAACGGCGCTGCAGTTGCCACGTCTTCATTTCCGCTGACAGCTCTTGAAAATGGCTGACTGGATGGCCCGAGGCGCCCCACTGTGGTTGCTGCCCCACTCGTTATCGCTTAGTATGCCACGGAAGGCGTGGCATTTGCTTTTAAGTAAATAATATTAATCATACGCCCGGTGGGGCCGCGAGCAAACGAACGCTCCGACATGCATCAAAAACAACGCGCGAGCTTCTGAAATTGGAAAATTGAAAATGCATTGTAAGCGAGGGGATGAAAAATAGCTGGCATCGCGTAAAAATGGAAATGAATTACGCTCTCCATACTCTTAAAACCATTGGCAATGCATAAAGGGGCGCAATGTGTGCATGCAAATGCATATATAGCAGGCAATTGAGTTGAAGCTAGACGGCTTATAACTAGATTGATTGTGTTGAGTTGATCTAGATCTGTCTAGCTAGAATTCTATTTGTATATTTGTCTGTATTATCTGTTAGCTCGACAACTGAACTGTAAACACAGATAAAGACTTTCAACCATCTGTACTGGGTCCTCATAAGAATAAAAGTATTTTCATTAATTATATTTCAACATCTGCTCAGCTATCGATAACACCTTTTTATAGAAATATTCATTAGAATTCGCCATTAAGATCTCAAGTATTTATGACTTGAAACTTCTCGGAAAGTATTTTAATTGCACTATAAAATACTTTCCGAGCTATACTCCATATTTTATTACTAATTTAATTATAATTTTACCTTGTAATTATTTTTTTTTATTTTTTATCTTTTATATTTTATATTTTATATTTTATATTTTATATTTTATATTTTATATTTTATATTTTATATTTTATATTTTATATTTTATATTTTATATTTTATATTTTATTTTTTATATTTTATATTTTTTATACTTCTTTATTTTAAATTTTATATTTTATTTATTGCTCATATTAAATAGATTATATTTCAGAATTTACTATTTTTAATGTTATATCTTGTCATTTAGCGGGTTTTCACCTGGTGAAGTTATCTATGTGCAGCACTCCCATAAAATTCCCGCATTGAGGCTATTGCGTTTATTGCAAATTATAAATTCTGGTTCCCCTTTGTCTATCGTATGTTTTGAAGTTTATTCTGCAGAATTTGATTTAATATTGCTAATTCTTCGAAAATTTTCAATAATTGCACAATCTATGGTTGCATTGTTTTTATTTGATTTTTTATTTCAGCTAAAAGATATTTTCTTACCAGATAAGAAACGGAAACGTTTCGAGTGCTTAGTCAGCCACTCGAGTTCGAGGGTTCACCAGCGGCATTTCAGTTATTTGTTGCGCAATTGTTAATGCCTGATAAATGTATCGAATGGCTTATCAAAAACAATTTATTCTATGATAAAATGGCATTTAAATTAAATCAAATTGATATCGATAGAAAGTCAATTAAAATAGCCAGCACCGGCGATGCGCTACGCTATACAATAAAGAAAACAAGACAGACAGACAGATGGAATTCTGAGAAATCTACAAAAAAATATAAATAAATAAACTATGTTTACTAGAGACTTGAACTTGTTATTTAATCTAGAATCAGCTTTTTAGTTAATCTTAAAGCACTTTAATTATCTTTTATTATTATACATACATATAAACAAAATTCACATGTCCAAAATATGTTGACGTATTGTCTGTCAAATTATCATTTTTGATAAGACATTCAAGTAGTGCGAGCATAGAACTAACCTATGCATAAAAATGAAAATGGGTTCAGGGTATAAATAGCTAAAGAAACAAACAACTTTGGCAAGTAGGGTAATCGAATATTTATATCATATCAGTTTGTCAGAGGCTTAAGACCGATGGTTTTTCACAAATTTCATTTACTTTTGACATCCACAACTTGTGCTGCCTATAAAAGGTGAACCACAATTTCTTGGCCACCGAAGTACGCATTTTACGACCGTGCCACAAGCACATACGAAAGAATAAGCGAATTATCTATTATTTCAATATCGAAACGAAATGAAAATGTTTTTGCTAACGATGTTGGCCTGCCTGGCGGCCGCTGTGTGCGCAGGACCCAGCCAATCGCTCGGTGAATCGAAGCTGCTGCAGGCGATGCGCAGCACCAACGCACTGCAGCAAAACAATCCGGCTCGCTCTATAAAGTGCTTTCAGTACTACAGCGAGGTCTTCGATCAGCTGCTGCAGCAGTACGAGGAGCAGTATCAAACCTGCGAAAATGCCAGCGAAACTCAGCTCGCGACTCTCGATTGGCTGTACGAGTCGAAGCTGTCCGGCTTGAGCAATAATGCTCAGTCCGCCTGCCAACTGATTCAAAACTGCGATAATCTAACTGATACCGCTTCAGCTCTAGCCTGTTACGCACAGGTGGTAAGTGGGCTCAAAGTGAACTATAATTATGATTATATTATATATGTATATTTGATATTTTATGTACATTTACAAACCTCCTTCACAGGGCACTGAAGATGCCAAAGTTATGTACAACATTTCGGGCTCAGCCAGCCAGTATAACGGCGAGTTCAATCAGAAGAAGCAGGTGATCGAGTACCAGCTCGAAGAGTGCTCGAATGAGGCGAGACGTGCATATGAGGTTGACACGGAGCAGACCTATGTCAGACTGCAAGCTTGTTTAATGGGCACCGAGCCGGTGCCAAGTACCACTACGGCTGGGACTAGTGCATCGCCAGTGACCACAACAACTACGCCCGTTCCAAGCACAGCGGGAAGTAGCACAGCCGATACTAGTTCGTCTACGGTGATTAGAACAACAACAACGCCCGTTCCAAGCACCACCGCTCGTTCAACAAAAGTGCCAAAAACTACAACAACAACAACAACAACCGATATTCCAGTTACAACAACTACAACAGGTGCTTACACGACCAGTTCGATTCCAGTTTCAAAAAGCACTACAATTGCAACAACTTCAACTTCCAGAAGACCCATTCCAAGTATAAGGCCCACAACACCGCCAGTTCCGTTGACAACAACACCTGACTTCACATCCACTCCCACTCCCAGTTCCACTCCCAGTTCCACTCCAAGTTCCAGTTCCAGTTCCCATGCCACACCACCAGTTCCACTCGATTCCACAACAGCATCACTTATCAGCACAACACTTCCAGTTCCCCTCTCAATGACATCGGCTTTAGCTCCAGTCAAGCCAACAGCTTCGGCCGCGCCCAGCCTCAGCTCAGATCTTAAGAAACTGCTGCACTCGCTGCTACACTAGACAACATGGTTTATGTACTGCATTAAATAGGTAACGAGCTGACAAACCCTCGCTAACATTGAAGTTGCAAAACTTTTGTAATCTCTTTGGCGTGGATGGGCTGGGTTGGGTTGGTTTGGGTTGGGTTCGGTTCGGTTCGTTGCTTGGTCACAGCAAAAGTAACGGTAAAAGGGAAAGTAAAGTAAAAGCAATTTTATGGAAATGTTGGCCAAATATTGACAGAGTCCACACGGACCAGGCGACAGTCGCAATGGAAAAGTTCAGCTAAGCCAATTGCAACTCTACAAGTGTAACTTACATAATTAACGCTTGTAGATGTTAACTAGTTTGGACTGATGCGCCTGACCGACTTACCAGATGCCCTGTTAACTGCTTCAAGCGAAATGCCAGCATATCAATAGTATTTTAGTATATATTTTCCGTATTGTAAACTGAATTGGTGAATGTTTGTATTCAATATAAAAGAGCGTATAACAAAAATTTAATGATATATTATTACTCAGTAGTCAAAAACAAAAATAATAGATTTTTTTTTAAATTTAATGATAAATAAATAGATTCTCTTTAAACTAAAAATTAAAGATATAAATAAAAATCATTATTAATTTTAATACATGCATATAGATGAGGAATTTTAAAAAATTATTTTTACTATTATTTATATATAAAATAAAGCGCACTTTTTAGATAAAAATATATTTAATATATATATTAATATATTTAATATCTTAAAAATATATTTAATAGATAATATAAAAAATACATTAAAGTAAAACCAGGTTCCAATTATACTCATTTTTACTCATCAATTTTATATATATATTTTTTTTTTTACTTTGCACATTTATATTGATATAAAAATCATTAAGTAAAAACTTTAAAAAGTTGAGAGTAGAGAGAAAATCCAATCAGAGTTCAGAGATTTGATAAGAAATATATAAATATCGCTCTATCAAATCATATCAGTCTATCAATCATTACTCTAGCGGTGCTCTGTAATACCATTTGATTCGCTCTGAGTACAGGGTATTGTAAAATATAATTTGCATATTCCTGCACCTAGACAAAGTTTCTGCAATTGCCGAATGCCATTTGAAATGATTTTTTGATATTGCCGACCTAATCAAAGATAATTAAGATTTTGGGTTGGTCTTGAAACATAAATTGAATGGCAATTAAAGGCTTTAAGTCTTAGCATTTAACGGTTAAATAAACAGTAGCTATCTTTTGGCTCAAGGGTGTTTTTCATTTAAATTTAATTGCATTTGCTTTGCAGCATTGACTTTGGCTTTGACTGTTGATTGTTGTTGCCTACGGCATTGTTGTCACTGCAATTAAAACAAATTAGAAATGTAGCCACACACACGCAGAGAGAGTGAGAGAGAGAGAGAGAGAGTGGCAGAGGGAGAGGGAGCAAGGGTGCACGCAGTAGTGCCCCTCTAAAATGAAGCCAATAACTGGCGACAGTGCCGCGTGTCCTTGCCACAGGCTGCAGCTGGCGGCTGATTTAAATCGTTGCCTAGCTGCTCTTTTCACATTATTTGTGTGTATGTGTGTGTGTGTGAATGCAAGTGTGCGTGTGTGTGTATGTGTGTGTAGGAAATGTTAATGCAGTTCAAGCTATGTTTGCCTGGCTCGTTGAAAATGCTTTCGCACAAAGAACGCAATTAAGATATGCAAATTAGTGTGTGTATGTGTGTGTGTGCTCAGCAGGTGCACAGCAGGAGAGCGGCGCTGCTTGATATTTAGCTGCACTCCATTATTAATACGCTTGCACATACAAAAACCTTAAAGACACTGAGATAATTAAAATACGATTCACTAAGATTGAAATTTAGGGAATATGGAGAAGAAATTCATGGAAACTGAAAATCAGATCTGTGAATGCTAGAGTATTATGTCTTAGCCAATCAATGCATTTTCTTGGCATATTCATAGTCTGTATTCAATGAAGCCAGAAATTATTCAACTATGAAATGCATTTGCAGCATTTGCTTTGAGTTCAGTGCATTCCTGTCGAGCTTTGCCTAGCTATGCGCTCTTACTAGCTTCAAGTAAGTTCAATATCTGAACTGAACCCTCAAAATGGGAGTAATTTCATTATCTATTTCTGAAAAGAGGCTCATAGACAAGTCTTGGTCAGCTAAATGGGTTTGTTCTTATGCCAATGCTCGGTAGGATTTATCTCTTGAATGGTTACATAGAAACACTTATATAGCTAGGAAAATATTTATAGCATAAATGCGTATTCATTTTGGCTCACCTGAATAGGATTTTTGATTCATTTGGAGTATAAATTTAAGATTTTAGGAAGACTGTATATAATTTTTGAGCTTAAATGGTGAATTGACAAGGCTGAAACATAGAAAAAGTAATTCGATCTCCAATTATCAATCCCCGGAGACTACGTATTCCAATATATAAAGGATATCCCTAACAACTTGTACTGCCTTCGCCTTACCTAATTGCTATGCATCAATCTCTCACTAACTGATTCATACGAAATAGCATTGTTGAAGTAAAACAGATTGATCTTCTCATCAACTATTTATAAACATTTCATATCTTTACATATGTAGGTCACTTACTTTGCTCTCACCTTGCCCAACTTTGATAGTCCTACTGATATCTACCAATTGCCCACAATTCCATAATGCCTCTATAAAGCGCCTTAGCAACTGCTGTAATATTTTGGACGACCTGCAAAATTCTTCAATTATATGTGGCTATAAAAGATTGGCTGTAAAACTAAGTCGAGTTAATAAAATTCTGTGCATTGTTCCTGCGTTACCCAAGACGTTCGCAACAATTGAAAATGTAACTGAGACTGCGAACAGCTCGCGTGATTCCCAGGAACAAAAGCGAAATGTGCTCGCCAAGGAAACGACTTGTCATAAATAATTGCAATATATATTTCATTTAATAGACTACTCAATCTGTGAATCACGAAACGCTCTGACCATCGATTTGTAGTTTACGATAGCTGGAGTACAGCACGTGGCATGATAAGCGACTGAAGACGACACGAATATAGATTACATTCCTACTGGGTCTAAAAAGAACGATCAATGACCCTCATAATGTGAGCAATATGGACAGAAAAATAATAGAAAATCAAAATAAATACATGTAAGTGTAAATTAATTTCGAAAATGGTTAAGAATGTCAAGCGCAAGACTAAATATTTACTTAATAATTGTGTTCGGGCTATAAAATAGTTGCTTATCTAAGCTTATGTGTGTGCGTATCTGATAAGTGGAGCTGACCAATTGCAAAGGCGGATTACGTTCCTGAACCTTATCAACATCGGGCCTAACAGGAACGCTACCTACATTAAGTGGACAATGAAAAGTTTCTTGACTGTCGGACACCTTTCAGTTGAAAAGAAAACGGTATTTAAAATAATATACACTGGACTGTCAAAATTATAGACAGGACACCAGCCCTTAACAGCAAACATAAATGTTCGGGAAGTCATAGAAATTATGTCAAATGTCTTGGAAATGGTTTGTGATTTGCACAAAACTCTTTGCGCTTGTGTAAATATAATTTACGCTTTCTATTTGTGTTCTCGGGAACCACAATGATTTCAATGATTAGAGTAGCACGGAAGCAGATTAGAAGACCGATAGCTGGTATTGATAAGGCGTAATGCCTTAAGTGATAGAGCCCAAATTAAAAATAAAATGCCTATGTCGCTTTTCACATTGCCTCAGTAAGAAGTCCGACGTTCATAGCAAACGAATCAATAATCGAGTTAACCATCTACCAGAAAAACTAAACGAAATATCTAACATGTTTTCGAGAGTGTGTGTTCTGCTTTTGGCCATTGGCCTGAGCCAGGCTGTGCGCCTGCCCCTGCTGCCCGAGTCGCCGATGATTAAGCTTATGATGCGTACCAGCGAAGCCAGCCAGAACAATCCCCAACGTTCCCTTTCCTGCTTCAACGAGTATCTGCCTCTGTTCAACCAGGCCAATGAGAACTTCCAGGCCGCCTATGCTAAGTGCTTGTCCGATGCTGACGCATCCCGTGCGGGCATCGATGAGAGCACCAAGGATGAGCGCGCTCAGATCGACGGATCGGCAACATCGGCCTGCAAGGCTCTGGACACTTGCAGCCAGATCACTGACTCCGTCAAATATTTCACTTGCTACTCAGAATCGGTAAGTGAATTTTTCATTTGACGATTGAATCAAACGGATTATTCTAACGGCTTTCTATTTGAAAATTTGCAGGGCGGTGAGAACAGCAAGACCATGTACGAAATTTCGGCCGATGCCGCTGAGTGGTTGGCTAAGGTGCAAGAGGAATACCGTCTAATCGATGTTAACGAATACGCATGCACCAACAAAACTCAGCGCGACAATGTAGAGGAATCAGCTGCGATCTATGCGAACTTTGACAGGTGTCTCCTCGGCTTGGAACCACTGACCACTGCTCCACCCGCTGAATCCACCTCAGAGCCGAGCACTACCGCTGAAGATGAAGATGAAGATGACGATGACAATGACGATGAAGATGAAGATGAAGCTGAATATGAAGCTGAAGATAAAGATAAAGATGAAGATAAAGATGAAGATGAAGATGAAGATGACGCGTTGCTTATGGCGCTATTATTGTCAAAATAAAAGTCAATTGCAAAATCAGTATAAATATTAATCAATATATTTTATACAAGTGTTATCTATGAAGAGCGCATGACTTTTTTCTATATTCAAAAAAAAAAAAAAAATAATAATAATAAAATAAATAAAAAAATAAAAATAATAATAAAAATATATATTCATTTCATTGCATATTTAGTTCCAATTGTTAAATGTTTGTCGATTATTTCAATAAATAACTATTTTTAATAATGGACTCGGCTGACCGTGAGTTTCTTTACAACCGAGGAAAAATAAACATTCAAGTGAACTAAGGAAAAATTAATTTAATCAAATAATAATAATAATAATGTTATGTCTTAGGCAACCAATACGTTTTCTTGACATATTTATAGTCTACATCCCATGAAGTTATTAGTCTGTGAAATGCATTTGCAGAATTTTCTATGAGTTTAGCACATTGCTGTCGAAATGAAATATAGAAAAATTAATTCGATCTAAGGAAGACTCTAGGCATTGAAATAGATTATCGTTAAAAAATGTATTTTAAGGTCTGTTTTAAAAGTTTAAATCTGTTAAATACTGCAATCAATCAAACAACTATCAATCCCCTGAGAGTACATATTTCAATATACACAAGATTTCTACAACGACTTGCGCGTCCTTCGCTTTACCTAATTTCTATTTAAACTGTTTGGATTGAGTTTTATTCGATTCGATCGATCCATGACCCTCACAATGTTCAGAATCACAGGCGATTACTAGGAAATCAAAATATATATATGTAAGTTTAAATTAATTTTAAAAACAGTTAATGGTTAAATATTTGCTTAATAATTGTGCTCGTGCAATATAATGGTTGCTTATCTAAGATTATGTGTGTGCGTAGCTGATAAGTGGAGCTGACCAATGACAATGGCCGATGACGTTCCTGAACCTTATCAACATCGGGCCTAAGAGGAGCGCTACCTACATTAAGTGGACAATGAAAAGTTTTTTGACTGTCAGATACATTTCAATAGAATAAACACTTGATAGATATACACTCGACTGGAGCTAAAAATAATATATCAAAATAATAGACAGGACACAAGCCCTTAACAGCAAACATAAATGTTCGGGAAATCATAGAAATTATGTCAAATGTCTTAGAAATGGTTTGTCTTTGCGCTTGTGTAAATATAATTTATGCTTTATATTTGCGTTCTAGGGAACCACAATGATTTCAAAGATTAGAGTGACGCGATTGGGGGATCGTCGGCAACTGTTTAATTGTTTCATGGGAAATGTATTTCCCTCTGCCGGAGCTGTGGCAACAGACGATAAGACCGATAATGTCAGCAGGCATTGATAAGGCGTAATAGCTTAAGTGCCAAATCTAAGGTAATATCTTGGCCATAACATGTCGGCCGTATCTCTGGAGTAGCAGAACAACAACACTTGAGCAGCACACCTATAAATGCTGATGTCGCTTGCCACCATACCTCAATAACGAATCCGACGTTCAAACGAATCAAATATCGTGTTAACCATCTACCAGAAAAACTAAACGAAATATCTAACATGTTTTCGAGAGTGTGTGTTCTGCTTTTGGCCATTGGCCTGAGCCAGGCTGTGCGCCTGCCCCTGCTGCCCGAGTCGCCGATGATTAAGCTTATGATGCGTACCAGCGAAGCCAGCCAGAACAATCCCCAACGTTCCCTTTCCTGCTTCAACGAGTATCTGCCTCTGTTCAACCAGGCCAATGAGAACTTCCAGGCCGCCTATGCTAAGTGCTTGTCCGATGCTGACGCATCCCGTGCGAGCATCGATGAGAGCACCAAGGATGAGCGCGCTCAGATCGACGGATCGGCAACATCGGCCTGCAATGCTCTGGACACTTGCAGCCAGATCACTGACTCCGTCAAATATTTCACTTGCTACTCAGAATCGGTAAGTGAATTTCTTCATTTGACGATTGAATCAAACGGATTATTCTAATGGGGCTCCATTTGTAAATTTGCAGGGCGGTGAGAACACCAAGACCATGTACGAAATTTCGGCCGATGCCGCTGAGTGGTTGGCTAAGGTGCAAGAGGAATACCGTCTAATCGATGTCAACGAATACGCATGCACCAACAAAACTCAGCGCGACAATGTAGAGGAATCAGCTGCCATCTATGCGAACTTTGACAGGTGTCTCCTCGGCTTGGAACCACTGACCACTGCTCCACCCGCTGAATCCACCGCAGCGCCAAGCACTGCTCCACCCGCTGAATCCACCCCAGCGCCAAGCACTGCTGCTCCCGCTGAATCCACCCCAGCGCCAAGCACTGCTGCTCCCGCTGAATCCACCCCAGCGCCAAGCACTGCTGCTCCCGCTGAATCCACCGCAGCGCCAAGCACTGCTCCACCCGCTGAATCTACGCCAGCGCCAAGCACTGCAGCTCCCGCTGAGTCCACCCCAGAGCCCAGCACTGCAGCTCCCGCTGAGTCCACCCCAGAGCCCAGCACTGCAGCTCCCGCTGAGTCCACCCCAGAGCCCAGCACCGCAGCTCCCGCTGAGTCCACCCCAGAGCCCAGCACTGCAGCTCCCGCTGAGTCCACCCCAGAGCCCAGCACTGCAGCTCCCGCTGAATCCACCCCAGAGCCCAGCACTGCTGCTCCCGCTGAATCCACCCCAGAGCCCAGCACTGCTGCTCCCGCTGAGTCCACCCCAGAGCCCAGCACTGCTGCTCCCGCTGAGTCCACCCAAGAGCCAAACACATCGACCGAAACCGAACCGACTGAGAACTTGCCCGAAGAGGATCTGTCCCGTCTGGCCGAGGAGCAGAACAAGATCAAGCAGATGTTGGATGAGTTGAAGAAATGGTTCAAGCGCTACTAAAGCATTTAAAACAAGAAAAGTCAAATGCAAATTCAGCATAAATACTATTAATTATCTATTAAATACAAGTAATATTTATGAAGATCGCATGACTTTTTTCTATTGCCAAAAAAAAAAAATTAATTCATTGCATATTTAGTTCCAATTGTTAAATGTTTGTCGATTATTTCAATAAATAACTATTTTTAACAATGGACTCGGCTGATCGTGAGTTTCTTTACAACTGAGGAGAACTTAACATTCAATTGAACTATGGAAAATCTTAATTTATTTGATCAAATCATAATTGAATTTCATTGGAATGGCACCACTCTGAACTGTCTCAGCGATTAGAGTCGTCTAGTCTATAAATAACGCTTGAAATGACTATCTAATAGACTTTCTTTCAGCTCTTTACTATGCTAGCAATATTTTTTGAAATTCATAATAAACGTAGATTTGGACTAAGAACTTATAAATGCCAATAGTTTATCGCCTTGATAAGTTTCACAGTGTCAGCTCATAAAATTTGTAGTAGTAGCTACAGTGATACCTCCACTGGTGCACCTGCGCCTCAATTGTAGTAGTCAGCCTTATCTAATGCCGGCCATACTCATGCGTTGACCCAAGCGTGTTGGCCTTGTGATAATATTGACAACACTCACAGGAGTAGTGATAGCAAGTGTCTTCTTCATAATTGTCTTCGGAGCGATGCAATCATTATACGAGGTTTGCGCATTTGATTAGTTTTTAATCTGAAATCTATTCTAAACTTCCTCTAGATAACTGTTCACGCTGTCCAATTTTGACAGCTATATAAGCAATGCCCGCATAATTTGGAAGTCAGTTCAGTTATTACATTCGCCCACGTCCAGGATATATTCACAATTCGGAATAGCTGTGCAGCAAAATAACCAAAAAAAAAAAAAAAATAAGAAGTGTTCGCTATGAAATATACAATTGCTCTGTGCTTGGTGTTAGCCGCAGGCTGCAACGCCTTCTATTCCACCCAGGATGTTGACTTCCAGCCATTCCTGACGCGCCAGCAAAATGCGATGCGTTTCTTGATCTCTGCTCACGCTGTCAATACCCATGCCGATTTGGTCAACACCTGTTTTGATGAATATCTCTACAATCAGCAAAATGCCATGTTTAACTACAACAAATTTTACACCGGCTGCGTGAACACAGCTGAATCGGAAAAAAATGATTTGACCGCCGAGAGTGCTGCGATACGCCAGGACTTACTGTCTCGTAGCGATAACATGTGCGGTGTTCTCAGCAGCTGTGATAAATATGTCGATGGTCTCGAGTTCTTCGATTGCTACCGCAATGCGGTAAGTACTCAGAAATATACTGAAATTCTTTACGAAATGACCTTATCGATCGTTATTTCGGATGACAAACTGAACAGCTTAGTATCAAATAATATTTTACTTATACTCCTTTGCATACTTTTAAAACTATTTTTCAGTCCACTGACAGCTACAAAATAATGTTCACACTGAACAGCGATGCGAATATTCAGTTCAATACGATTTCCGCTAAGTACGATATCATCAATTTCGATCTGAAAACATGCGTGGATACTGCTCGTCTGGATTATGCACGTGAACTTGAGAAATGTGATGCAGATTTCAATGCTTGTCTTAATGGTGGTGCTGAGTCAAGTACTACTGAAGCTCCAATCGTCACTACCGAGGCTCCAGTCGTCACTACCGAGGCTCCAGTTGTCACTACTGAGGCTCCTGTCGTCACTACTGAGGCTCCAGTCGTCACTACTGAGGCTCCAGTCGTCAGTACCGAGGCTCCCTGTCGTCACTACTGAGGCTCCAGTCGTCACTACTGAGGCTCCAGTCGTCAGTACCGAGGCTCCTGTCGTCACTACTGAGGCTCCAGTCGTCACTACCGAGGCTCCAGTCGATACGACCGAAGGTCCAGTCGTCACTACCGAGGCTCCAGTCGACACTACCGAGGCTCCAGTTGACACTACCGAGGCTCCAGTTGACACTACCGAGGCTCCAGTTGACACTACCGAGGCTCCAGTTGACACTACCGAGGCTCCAGTCGACACTACCGAGGCTCCAGTCGACACTACTGAGGTTCCAGTCGACACTACCGAGGCTCCAGAATCCATTGATACTACAGAGGCCCAGGTATTCACTACTGAAAAGATGCCAGAAGAGGACATCGATATGATGTCGCTGACCTTCGGAAAGCTTATGAATAAGCTGAAGCGTGTTTTCTAAACTTGCGTCTGATTGTAAAGCGAAATTAGCATAGTTCGTCAACGCAAGCATATATATGTATATATAAAAAAAAAACCGTTGAATTCATAATTTATTAATAGTTGAAATGTAATGAAATTAGTGGAGGGGCTGCATACTTTTAGGATGGAAAAGAAATGCAATTCATTCATAAAGCTTATCAGTTGTTTGCATACTCAGGTAATAAGCCAAGACATGTATATGGTATATAGGTATTTTTATGACATGATAAGATAAATGGCTATGAATAATAATTTTCAATAACAAATTCTAATTTTTTAATTATTGGAAAAGCATATATTTCGTCATTAATCCCACAGTAGGGAAAATATGAATCTGATGTATAGCTTATGACTGATCAAATTATTCATTTTTCTTTCTGCATAGAACGAGTTGGCCTTGAATGTATTATTCCTTTGTAACGATGGATCAGCTACGATCAGAAACGAATTTTGCCAATTGAATACGAACATTGTGGGTGGCATTCAGTTTTATAATTCTCTTTATTCTTCAGTGTCGGGGGCTTTATACCCTGAGTCGAAATTATATCTAGTGTCTATTATATGTGTGTTCTTAACCTGTCACTGCATTTGTAAGACTCAGCGCTCATCTCTCTAATTTTTAAGCTCACCCACGTGGCCCCCATATATATTTTTATTGCAAGGCAAATTTACAATCGTTTTTATATGTTTTTTCTACTCGTCGACCAATTGTTTATCAATAATAGTCTATATACTACTACTGCTCAAATTGTGTTTATGTGTTATACTGTATGATTGTGTGAATTAGTAGGAAATATCAATTATACAGAATTTCAGCAATAACACACTCGAGTCTCACTTGAGACGGCAAACTGTTCGAAGCGCCATTCACAATTTATAGCTAAATGTGTGCGGTACAAGTTGAGAATCAATTGGTTGGCGAGACCAGCCGACGCCGTCTGCAACAACTCGGTCAACACAGGCAGCATGTGGCTCTGGCTGCTGTGCTACTGATGGGCATTTGCATGCGTGGAGCATGCGACACGACTCCAAGTCTGACTGCAGGCATACCCATTCCATGGCCCGACGCGACACTCGACGAGTGTCACACTGAGTATATGCAGGCGTTTGCCAAGGCCTCGAGCGCCTATGCCATTGAATACGAGCGATGCGAACTGACAGCGAATGAGACACAGATCGATCTCACCATCGATGTCCAGCTGGAGCGTGAACAAATCCAGCTGGGCCACAGCGCATTGTGCAGCAATTTCGAGCTGTGCAATCAACTTGACGACGATCTCGAGTACTTGGAGTGCCACAAGGATCATGTAAGTGCTATACTCTAGGCAACAGTAGCTAAGACCTACTATATGTGCAATTAAAATTGAAGAGCACTAGCTGTCTAATCGTACACTAATAAATGCCCTATTAAGAGCTTAACTTATACTTTAAATTATTGAATCCATAAAACTAATCTATATTGATTGTATAAAGCCATTGGAAGCATGCCTATACTTAATAATCTAATTATGCTATGCTCTGCGGCGTAACAACCCCACCTGAATGTAGGCAGTTTTTATAGAACTTTTAATCTAAAACGCCTCAGGTATTGACCTCAAGTGCTTTAAAGCGGAAAAATTTAGAAATTTATCAACAAGCTTTTTGTTGGCAATAATCATGAGTTTATAATAGAATAATAATAACAATTTTTTGTTAGTTCGTTGTAAACATTATTTACGATGGAAGTTTTAGTGAACCGTTTAAAGCCATATATATCTATCTATATCTATCTATCTATCTATCTATATCTATCTAAAATTAAAAAAAAAAAATAAAATAAAATAAAAAATAAATAATAATAATAATAATAATAATAATAATAAAAAAGAGTTTTGGAAGTATAATTAAAGGCTATATGTTAACATCAAAACAAATACTTTCATTAAAAAGCTCATTAAAAGCTTTTGTAAATATAAACTTATTAAAATAAATAAAGCTCATTATAAGCTTCTGACCTAAAGGTAATATGAAAAAAATCAGTTTATTATCTAGAGTTCATATAAAATGTTCAAGTTTTCTTTAAGCTTAAACTAACTAAGCCCATAAATTGTAGTTCACCTCTCGTCGAATGAAAAAATTCAATGCAGCTTGCATAACTTTTATCTAGATCAATTGAATTTCGGCTTTTCTCAACTATTGGTTCAAAGCTCAAAGGAAAGTTTAAGTTTTTATGCTTTTGAAAATTTATTTTGATTCTTTTAAAAGCTCAATGTAAAGCTCCCTGATCGCCTTCAACTAATCCATGTCTCATGCATTTGCAGGGCAACGAGAATCTGGACCTGATGACTTCGATTAATTACAATGCAACAAGCGCCTACACACGCCTGCGCCAGGATTTCGATGCAGTGCAGCAGACGCTGATGTTGTGCACACTCGATGCCCAGGTGGCGTATATAGGCAGCATGCGATTGGCGAACGAGGAGCTGCAAGAGTGTCGCAGAGAGGTGGCCGCAATGGATGCGAACTGATCGATCAATATATACACATATATACATATACATATATATATACACATATAGAAGCATCAAAATCGAATATAGATATATTAGTAAAGCATTTGGATAGAGACTTTTGCCTATGACCTAGGCCACCTTCGCAGCATCCTGCAGGCATTTGTCCAGTGCATCGAATATCTTCGCTGTCTCCAGGACATAGTTATGCTCGCTGCGATTCGTGCAGAGATAACGCTCCTCGTCGATGCCATTCAGCTGTTTGGTTATAGCCAGCGCATTTTCCGACGCATTAAACGAGATGTTATACATCGTCATGAGCTGCTGCTTGGACTGACAATGGAAGTTGTTGATTAGGCCATATTGTCGTTTCGCTTGCGCACTCGACTTACCAGCTTGGCAAAGCAATCGAAGTAGTCCAGCACATTCGTGATGTTCAGGCAGCTGCCGATGTAGCTATCTATGCGCATCGCTGCCTGCCGTATCTGCTGCTGCATGCCACCCACCTGGCTGAAAACGGTGTCACGCCCACTATTCGCATGCTGTTGGCAGTCAGCGTATGCCGTCTCCCATGTGCGGCCTACCTGCTTCAGCTGCGGCAAATATCTGGCAAAACATTGCTTCGTATTGCCCGCTCCAGCCAAATCATGATGCTCCAAATATTCCGCCAAACTCTCCAGAATTCGTGATGTCTCGGCCTGCTCCAGGTGCTACATATACAATATGCTTATATATAACTATTCAAATTTCAAGAAAAAATAAAAATCCCTTGTAATTTTTACCAGCAATTGGGTAAGCAGCAAAAATGTGAATACAGCTTTCATGTTTTCTGTGCGTCTGTTTGGTTTGGCCGACAACGTGATACTGCGGAAATAATAATAAAGTTCAAGGCATAGGGCTTATTTAACTAACTTGACATTGATTCATGGCTTTTTAGCCGCTCCGCTTTGTTGTTATCTAAAAAAAATCGTACTAAAGCCCTTCAGTACTGCTTCAACTGTGAATCGCTGAAAGTTTGCAGCATACTTTTGTATGCCAGTGTAGTAGTAGTTCTTTTTGGATATCATGATCTAATTGTTGCTCATATTTGAGGTGTGTGAAGTGTAAGCATTCAGGTGCACACAGTGTAGCAGCTTGATAAGTATTAAATAGTTTGTACATTACTTTGAACGATATAAAGTTAATATGGCTATAAACAGTATTCTAAGTATTTTAAATACATTTTCATATAATAAAATATAATATAATAAATATTTTTATATCAGCACTATTTAACAATTCAATTTTATTCTTAATAATCATTTATTTGTATTATTAAAATATTTATTTTTATTTAAAATTTATTATATAAATATATATATCTATTAAACAAATTAAAATATAATACAAGTTGTAAAAAAAATGATTTTTTTTAAATTTTTCTTAATTAATTAAATATATTAAAATATATGTAATCTTTGATTTTATTCTTTATATATATTTTTATTATTCAATTATGTAAAACCTCATAGCATATGCCCATATTAATTGGCATCTATAACATTTGCATATTTTATTATTATTCATTAATCCGCTGCCTCAATATATTTGCCTTTGACAATTCATATTCAGAATGCCGATACGGCTGGCTGACGTTACAGCGGCGCATTTTTGGCATAGTTTTCGATTATTTATGAAGGCGATAGCATATGCTATGCTAAAGCCGATAAGCCAAAACAATCGAGTTGTAGACACATTGGCGCATATATTGGCTTAATATTTCATTAGCCGGGCTAAAGCGCACGAGCTGGCTGGAACAAGTGTTAACGCGTTTTGGGGCGCTTATCAGGTCGAATGGGCGGTTCATTGTCTATTTTTAGCCTACAGGGTCACAGCCTTATTCGCCTGTTACGTGGGCATCACAATTAAAGCGAAACAACAACAACAACAAAACAGACACAAAATAAATAAATAAATAAATGCACATGCAAAGCAATTTGTGGCGTCTGGCATGAGGCGCTTTGTGGTTCCGTATGGGTTCGAGTTAATGCCACCTAATTGATCGGCTTCACACACACCTTTCACCTGATGAGGCAGTTCGTTTTTATTTATTTTTTTATTATTATTAATTTTTTTTTTTTTTTTGTTCTTTTTTGGCCAGCTACACACAATAATTTTGACCAAAAATTCACCATTGCGAATGCATCAATCATTCCGCAATGAATTCGCCAGCGCCTCGCACCATATATAAAGCATAAGCGCCCATTGCGCTCTATCTACAGTGCTTGACGAACCGTACAGAGTCTCAACATGAAACAGTTCTGCAACGTTCTAGTGCTGGCCAGTTTGGCCATCTTAGCTCAAGTAATTGACAGTGTGTGGGATTTGCAAATAATCAAGAATACAATTTCAAGTGTCGTTTCGTTAACTGCAGGCCATGCCGAGCTCAGTGCAAACGCAGCTGCAAGGCGCCCTGGATAAATATCTGGTACAGGCGAACAACCTGGACATGGTCTCGGCGGATGTGACCTCACAGTGCTTCGCCTTGTACTTGCCGATGCTGAACGAAGTGGCCGCCTCATTCTCCAGTTCGTATCAGGCCTGCATTACCACCTACAACAATGAGCTGGCCAATTTGACAGCGCAGGCTCAGAAGGATCAGGTGGTCTACCAGCAGGACGTGGCCGGTCTGTGCAGTGCCTTCACCAGCTGCAACAACAGCACCAGAAATGACAGCACAGCCTTCTTCAGCTGCTACGCAAACGCCGTAAGTGAAAGTCAAGAAACTCGCTCAAGAAAAAATAAAACCCTGACTAATCTCGCTTTAGGCTCAAGCCGATGTCTCCATCATCTATGACATTGCCACCAATGCAGCCAGCACGGCCAACACTCTGGCCGAGTCCATCAAAGCCAATCAGGACTTGGAATATCAGTGCACCAATACCACCGAGAGCAACTATGTGCGCGACACGGCAGCCACATACGATCTGCTCGACAGTTGCCTGAAGAACGGTCTGCCCACCACATCGACAGCTGCTCCAGCGCCGACCACTACGCAAAGTCCTGCTACGACTGGCGATGACAATGCTACCGGCTCGACTGCTGGCAGCTCAACAACTACAGTGACAGTCTAAAGTGAATGTCTAAATGTGAGGGGCATTTCAATTAAACAAAATATAGAAAAATATATGAGCATTTATTCAAAAAACAAAACAAACAATGTGAAGCTGCATTTCGTTATCATTTGTTGCTTGGCACGGATATTGCATTTGACAAGCATTTCACTCTCTTTCTTGTACGTCAGTCAAGTGTCGCCTGTTGCAATGTCTGGCAACGCTCAAATGCGGCAACTTTGTAGCACATAAATTGGGCAACTCGCTTTGTCAGCCAAGTCGAAAAAATGCTGTTAAGCGCATTGTTTAAGCTGTCAATTAGCTGTCACTTGATAGTTCTTTATATTTTTAAAATATATGAGGGTGTGGCCACTACCAATTGGCAACTCCAGCTTGTTGTTAAGCTGTCAGAAGCTCTTCAATTTCATGCTAGAAGTTGTCATGCTGATTGTAAACTTTAGCTTTTATTTGAAAGAGCATAAGACAACATTTTTATCCAAAAATGTACATTACCATGATTTTGTTCTTAAATTATATAAATATATTATTTTGAGAAACAATAAACATCAAATTTATATTAAGTTTTCTACGGTTTTCTATATGCCTAAGAACTATTCTTCATTTTTTTTTTTTTTTTTTTTTTTTTTTTTGCAATATTAGATACTGTTATTTTTTTATTTAAAAAAAATATAAAAATAAAAATAATGATTAATAAATACTATTCTTTGATAATTAAGAAAAATATAAATAAATAAAAAAAAAAAAAAAAAAAATAAAATAAAAATATTTATCTACATATACATAATAATAATAATAATATTTATTTTTTTATAAACAATTAATAATATAATATTAATAAAAATAATAAATTAAATTAATTATTTAAAATTTTTGAAAAATATATTCTCCTATTTTTAGTTTATTATGTTTATTATAATTATTATTTTTTATTTATTTATTTATTTTTTATTTTTTATATATATATTGTATATATTTTAAAATTTTCTAGTTGTTTTAGCAACGTCGTTTTTTCTGTCTTTGACTGTCTTATAATTTGTATACGTTTTCTGGAACATCCCCCGCATACTTTTACTTCCAATTATATTTATTAAATCAAGTAATCTCACAACTTAAAAGATTTTTACAGTTTTTTTCAATTTCTAATCTAAAGCTGACAAAAAAGTATGAAAAAAACAATCTTATCAAAGCCCTCAGAAGCAAAACAAAAATCATTGACCGTTGGAATTTCGATTGTCGTAGGATCAATTTACTGTTGTTATTTACTACAATTTCACTTTTTGTTTTGGCTATAAAAGTGCCGTCCAGTTAGCAATTGTGTTCAGTTGAAATTTCGGCCGTGAAACGTTCAATATGAGATTTATTGGAAGTGTTTGCCTCTTGGCCATGGCCATTTGCCTGCTGCTGTCCGCCGTCAACGTAATGAGAATTGACCGACCCAAAAAGTACTGAGGCACGAGATTCATGCTAAACCATACACCATTTTAACAGGCGCTGCCAGTGCGAGTGCAATGCAGCGACAACAACAACGGAACTCAGACGCAAACCTCGTCGGATGGCCAACAGACACAGACGCAAACTGGACCCGGCTGCCAAACACAAGAATCTGGAGATGGACAGCAGAGCCAGAGTCAGAGCCAAAACGGCAATGGCACCCAAACACAGACACAGTGCAGTGGCTCGAATTGCTCTACATTGCCGCCGCTCTTCACGATGAAACCACTCGAATGGAACACTCTTCCACCCATCCAATGGAACACTTTTCCACCCATGCAATGGAATTAGAAATGAACTACTCGACGCTCCACTGCAGAGTCAACTGATATAGGAAATAGATATTTATCTATATACATTGACCTTGCTGTGCTTTAAGCTCTGTGTTCCACTTAATTGTGTTCAATTAATACAATAAATCTAGCTTAAGACTGTCAAGCCTTT